AAGTTTGCACAGGCCCACCATACCTTGTGCTTTAATAGACTGTTAATATTGGGGGTCGTGGAGATTCAAACACACTATCTTATACCACTCTCTAACAGGTCAGGGTAAACTGGTTGGGATTGATCCGGTCCTGGTCCGATCTTTTCGGGAATATGAGGACCAAAGATAGGATTGGATACAGTCTGGTCTTGATTCGGTCCGATCTTGACCAGGTCTGGTCCCAATCCGGTCTTGATTTTAGATTGAGCTTGTGGGTAGGGGTGACTATTTGGTGCAGGTTTTTGGTTTTACCCGAAACCGAACCGTATAACCCGGACCGAGACCGGATCGAGATCGAATAGCACACAATTCAATCCCATCTTCGGGTTTAGATTTGAGGTAAAAAACCGTTCGAGATCGAATCGAAAACCGAATAAAAACCGTATAAGAGAGCCTAACACCCAAAACCTAACAAACTCCTCACCCTTTAGGCCTCAGGCCACTCAAACCCTCTACAAGATCAATCTAAAATCAAGACCGGATTGGGACCGAACCGGGTCAAAATTGAACCAGATCAAGGCCGGAACTGAACTGTATCCAATCCCATATTTGGCACTCATATTCCTGAAAAGACCGGACCAGAACGGGATCAATCTCAGCTTAATTTCTTTCGAGCTACTGCTTGAAGAAGCTAAGATTTGGTTATTGGTCGTCCGTCACCATTCTGCACCCATAACATGACATCGTTGCCAAGTGAAAAGAGTGTAAAATTGTAAGAAATGATCCCTCTAGATGGATCGAGAATCCAATGCATGCAGGGAGATCAGCAGAGATACTTTGTTATATTTTACCATCTTCTTTCTGATCAACTTCGTTACTGGTAAGTGGGCTACCATAATTGATTTATGTTTAACTAATAAGATTCTCTTGGACTTCCTCTGACCTTTGTTTGTTAAAATTGTTATATGTCAGGCAGGATTGACCTATTTCTGATTCTCTAAGTGATGATACTATACTACACTTTTACATTGAGTGTACGCAGTAGGTATATAGTACAATACGTATTAGCAAATATCGACCTCAACAACGAACAGAATTACATTTATTCTATTGAAATAGAAAGTATATACTAAAGGATCGCTGAGAGACAAATTGCCTAATGTATATACGGATGATTATCTCAATCGTTATATGCACAAAAATGTATATGAACATTACTTTATGAGTTAAATATCAACATATGTATGTACGTACCTAACGATCGATATTATTAAAAGATTGTATCTAATTATATCAAAATAGGTTGACGCCTACACCGTAATAACACATTCAATAAGAAGAACATTGTGAGGACGTTTGATTCAACAATATCAGTACAAATGAATGCCTACAACATGTTAACAAGCCGCGGCGGATCAAGAATATGATAGAGCACTGAGCCACATTTAAAAAGAGACGAAGAAAACTGGACTGTAACCCAATGAATACTTTAAAATCGAAAATTTACAAACGCTGTATTAGTTCTTAATCTAGAGAGGAGGGCTGGATTGTGCCGGTGGAACTTGGAAGGAAAATACAGGACTGGTCGTAGATCAATTCTTAATATCTAGGCGAGCAATCGATTTTTTTATATATTTACCTGCAGACAAAAACATCGATTCGCTCCATATCGTGTAGCAGGTTTCCTTCACTCAAAGTCGTTATTTGACCATATGTTCAAACTTTTGAACGCATAATAAAAAAAAGGGTAATATTATTTAGTTATTAATTTTTTTACTAGTTTTCCAACACGTACAGAGATTGAGAATTTCGACGTAAAGCATGTGCATGCCGGGTGGTGGGAATGTGCAGTAAAAAAATTTAAAATAGTTAAAATTGTGGACGGCAGGCAGGCAGGCACAGTAAGACTTGCTTTCCATTTTCCAATTTTCTTTGCCATCTTTCTTGGAACCCTAGCTAAGCCAGCTGGGGGATTTGAACCCTAAGCTAGTTAGCTAGCTAAAGATACCCTATAATAATTCCCTATAGTTTCTTTCCTATAAATAATCCCCAATTTGTTCCCTCTCCATTCTCCTCTCTTTCTGCTGCAAAACCCAAGTTATCAAATAATTGCCCTTAATCAAGAAGAAACAGTACTTACTTTGCAAAGATGGTGAAGGTGAAGTTTGTAGGGATGCTGGTGGGGCTTCTCTTTCTCGTGAATGTCCTAAGAGACTACTATGCTGTTGCTCACCAAGGTAATAATGTAACTTAATTAGCTTGTTCACCAGACTGCCTGCTTTTCACAAGTATTTGGGTCCATTTCTCGAAAAATCGAATTCTTGAGATGAACTGGTTCTTGACACTACTTGAGATTGAACTGCTTTTTTTTTTTTTGTATAGATGATTTTCTGGGGATTCAACATTCGGGTGATGGAAGGAATCATGACAACAGTTTCCCTATGGTGGCTTCTTCTGCCGCCATTGCCGATCAAGTAATAACTCCACAGAAAAACCACAAGGTATACATATAGCTCCCCTCATGGCTGTTTTCACTATAAGAAAAATGTGAAGTTTTTTCTTCCCCCTTGTAGGTGTTGTTTTTCTGTTTCTTGTTGTATCGAGATATATAGCTAGTTCAAAGTTTGATGATGATGATTATAGCCAATGTAGTCAAAAGCGAGTTTCTACGTAGAAATGTTTTTGGTGATCTAGAAGCGTAAAATCGTAAGTTTTTAAGCGGAGTTTTTAACTACATTGGTTATAAAAACTGAGATTTTGTGTAGAAGCGTTTTAGTGACCTAGAAACCTAAAATCGTAAGTTTTTAAAAGTTTTAAAGCACGATTTTGACTGCATTGATGATAGCTATATGGTAATGTTTTTCTCTTACATTAGGAACTTGGAGGAAGGAAAATGGTGGTCATGAAGAATAAGAAGAATAAGGCTGACCATGATGATGATGATCACAATCTAAACACTGCAGCTTATCACAAGAAGCTGAGGTACTTGAAGCAGGCGGCTTTTCCTGCTGCAGCAGCCAGCAGCAGAGCCGAAAGCGGCCGGAAGGTTGCTGCAACTGAAGGAGATGGTGACGACGAGAGGCTGCTAGAGGCGACAAGGAAGATCGTTGCCCTAATGCATAAGGACTACAAAGGGATGAATAAACCTAAGCGGAAGCCGCCCATCAACAACAATCTCCCCGTGCACTGAAAAAATGTTCATAACATATGGATAATGTAAATGTATAGGTTTGTGGCTCACAATTTTGGCCCTTATTCTCGATCGATCCACCGCCTTTTAGTTTCTCTAGCTAACTAGCTAGCTCTCTCTCCCTATAGACAGGAATATAGTGATGTCCATCAAACCATATACTAGGCTATATATATATATAAGCTCTCTACCTAGCTTGTTTTTGTATTTGCTCTTGACCTTTAGTTTTGGTGCTTGGTGTAAAGGTCATATAAATGCGTGTTGTCAGTTTATTGTTAAATGTTAAGCCAGTTAATACATATATAAATCTCGGAACTGTTGTTTTATTTTGTATATTTGAGAAAGGGAAGTTTTCCAATCATTGACGACTCAAATCTATTGTCAAACCCCACACAGATGAAGTGGTAAGTCTGATTATCCATTTCTCTCATTAACTTAAGCGATAGCAGACTGTTCGTCTGTTTGACACCGAGAATTCCTTTCTGTACTGTTATAATTATGAATCGGTCTCAAGGCGTTCCACTTCCATGTATGTTGAGAACATATAGTTCATGTGCATCCATTGCTTATAGGCCAAATGGCCAATGTTGTCGTATATATTAACTTTGTAGTTTGTGGAATATAACTAGTGTATCGAATTTTGGTTGTTGTTATATATCGTGAAGGCGAAGTTACATAGTTGAAGCTGATCGGTTACGATTGCAATTATCGAGGCAAGACATATCATAATCACTAAAGATTGGATTTTGTGGTGATTAATCATTAATTCATTATCACACTTTGCACGCTGAAAATGACAGGAGATAATACAATGTTATGCTCGGCATAGAAGTCTAAGAAGCGAGCGAGAGAGCTGGTGAGAATGTGAGCAAGTCGTTATTTATGCTGGATTGTTGAAATATACATAATCAAATATATTTCCTCATTGGAATATAAATTTCAATCAATATATGAATTCTTATCGAACTAGGATTTCTGATACAATTCAAGATTTAACGTCTAATTCCGAATTGGTTATGCCTCTTAGTTGGCTTTGGATTAAATATCCTAGGATAGGAATCCAAATCCTATTAGGATTAGGAAAACCAAATTTATCTAGTTTGAACAACTCTTGTCCTAAGAAAGGATTTGAATTCTAGTATGATTGTAAAATTTTATCTTACGTGGATGATTAATAGTTACTTGGTATCAATATTGCTTATTTAACATATAAAAATTATAAGGTTCATTTTACAAATAATACTCAAACTTGTATGAGGTAATACAACTGAGTAATGAACAACAACTAAGCTAGAGCAGCTGTCTCTTCTGCAAAATGTTGCTGCAGATCATGCATCACTTCTCCTAGCATTTCCAAACACTGTCTTACATCTTTCTCTTCATATAATGCTTATCAGCCCGCTCCATACAAAGCCACACATCATACATTTCGTACCACCTGATATACTTCTAAATTTGTATTGTTATTGACAAGAATGAGCTAAAGAAAGCACAAGGAGCTAAAAGAGGTGAAAATAATTCCACCATTGCCATTTTTTGCTAAGGCACAAGTCTTAATATCTATGCTGATTGTTTGGGTATACCTCTAGTAATGAAATACTGATGGTTACTCAAAACAAGTAAACAACCTACAACCAGATAGGCTTGTATTCCCATTTAGTTTAATATTTCCATCTCTGGTCAACTGTTAATTTTGTGATTTATTAATTATACTCAAGGCAACTGTTTGTCTGTGAATTGCTCTCAAGTCCCAATCATTCAGAGAGGCCAAGGTGTTATCTTCTCCATATATAAAAAAACAAACCAAAAGTCATAGGCCCTCAACTCCACCAACCCAGAAAACAGAGACAGCAATGGGAGGAGGCGAAGCCGGGAAGACAACGGACGACAGAGTGGCGATATCGAACAGAGGGCTGGAAGAACGTTCCAAAGCTCCCCATAGTCAACTGGAAGGGTTGACCATGGGCGGCCTCCGGATTGTGGAGTCGCGCAAGGGATTCATCCGCTGTCACTTCACCGTCCCCAATCGCCTCACTGTCAGTTGACTTCTCCTTCTTCTTCCTCCTCTGTTTTTTTCTTCTGAGGTCGATGGAGTTTTAATTTCCTCTCTCTCTCTTTGATTCGGGTTTGGATTAATCAGGACGGAGATGGGAATTGGCACGTCGGAGCGATGGCGACGATGATCGACGATCTGAGTGCGTTTGCAATTTACTCATTGGTCGGCCATCTGAAGGCTTCCGTTGATTTCACCATCTCTTTCCTCTCCACTGCCAAATTGCAGGTGAGCAAAGAAACAGGGGGCATGGTCAATTGCTACCCACGTCCTTGTGGTTTTATTTAATGGACAATTTAGTCCTTCAAGTTATCACAGTAACCTAAATTAGTACTGTTTTTGGATGTTTTGATATGGATGGATGGATAATTGAATATGTTAATTGTCAGGAAGAGATTGAGTTAGAAGCAAAGGTTGTTGGAGTGAAGGAAAGGCTGGCTTCAGTGGTGATAGAGGTTAGAAGAAGAAGTAATGGTGAGCTGATTGCCTTGGGGAAGCAATGGATGACTGCCCATAATCATGTACAGAAAGCTAGTAAACTTTGATTGTTAGAACTAGTTTTCTGCGTGTTCTGTTGGCTGGATGAGTTTTTATTTTAACTATTAACTAATTTGGTTTTCATTAAACATAAATATGAGCACGGCATGAGTATGAGAATTTACAACACACACATTCAAACTATACCCCCGGCCAAATCGAGCAAATTTGAAAAATGGGCTCACCTGAGCATGGGCCTTCTCAGCCATGCAACCCAAATGGATCCCCCTATGGGTTCTTTTGAGTATAGCCCACAGTGCACTGATGTTGTGATTTCAATTTCTTCAGCCCATCACTCGGCCATTGAATAAGCTAATTGTACTCACCATCAAATCAATGTGCTTATATGCTTACCCCTACATGCTACATTGCGCAAGATGGAAAGTGGTAATTCAGGGATTGGAAATCGGAATGGCCATTGTGTCCTAGCTGAGCGCTATAGAGAAGGATTATCACTTTTCAGGTAATTTTCTTATTTCACCCGTTATCGTCTTAGAGGCATGCATCATTCTGCATCCAATGCGAAACACGCCATGTTAGTTTTCAAGAAAGTAAAATGAGAATAGGAAAATTGTGCAAGAAACACAAAAATTAGGCTAGAAAAACCACACACCCCATGATTCACAAGCCATCATTTGTCAACATCTTATAATGGGAGCAAGACCGGCCATTCTGTTCATCTCGACAAAAACATTATCGATATTTGACACCTCTTGAGAAGACAAGGGTTGTCCAACACTCCCTCATTGGTATGAATAACTGTCAGTTCAGAGTTCGACAACAAATTTGAGGGTCTTAAACTATGATATTAGATTAGTGTGACTACCAGCTAATGCCTTAAAAGTGATGACAGTGTCCTTAGAAAGGAACCTTCATGGGTTTTTATGATTACCCTCAATAGATAGTTTGACCCTACAAACATATTTGGTGTCCTTGAATAGAGTAGAGATTATTTAACCCTTGGTCAGAACCTAAATGGAAAAAGAAAATTAAGAACATAACAAATTTTGCTTTGCATCAATGGGGCAAAAAAAAAAACAACTTTGGCGTGAAAGATGTACAAAATTGCATGGAAGAGCTAGGTTGGACTCTACCGCTACTGTGGGGAAGGTTAAACATATTGTAGAATTGGCCAGGATGGGTAGTACTGCAATCCAGGTTGATTGGAGTTAAATGTAGTTGTCTATGTATTGGTTAGTAGAATACTAGTTTAGCTAGTTTGATAGCAAAGTATGTTCCTTGTATACCAAGTTAGCAGGTATGCCTGCTTAGTAGTTGTAAATTTGTAGAGGTTATAGTGTTTAAATCCTCTACCATGTGCTTAATAATTTTTTTTATTGTCCATAAAAAATGACATTAAAATGTGCCCCCATGCCACCACCTTACCTAGCCTAAGCAGTGGTTCTTTAGAAATCGTTCAAACTCGCTTGCAAGTAGAATGTCATACTCATAAGAGATGATACAATGTTTAGCATGTCAAATAAATCTTGGACTATACATAGCCAATCCATTTTTAGAGTTCTTGGAAAAAAAATCATTGAATACACTTTTCTAGTTGGTCTAGAATTTTCTGTTTGTATTTTTTTTTTGCATTAGTATTTATATTCGGACTTTAAAGTTTACCGTCTAATTTTAATTGGTGTGGCATATTAGCTGGAATACGATTAAATGGATCAATTAGTGTTAATCCTTGTTGGAATAGCAATCCAACTCCTATTAAGATTTGAAAAAAAATCTTTATCTAATTTCAAACCTCTTGTCCCTACATTTCTTGGAGCGACAATTGCAATAGTCCTTGAAATCATAGTCAATCATCCAACTTTCTTAGTAGCATGAGTCCTCCTAGAAGATGATATCTTCTCGTTTGGGACCTATAAGTTGCAAAAAATGCATTTTGCGTGTTAAGATCTATCCAAGAGTAGGAGATGTTGTTCCCCTAGCAATGTGAGTACTCATGATCTTTTAGTTTTGACGTTAAATTAGTTTAATAATTAAGCATTATGATTGAATTAAAATAATCTCATAGAAGTATGGGTAAAACTTATGAGTTGTAGCAAGATCAAGGTGAGGATTCAGAAGAAGATTATGCTTATGTTGTCACGAGATATTATTTTTCCACCCTTTATATGAATTTTTAGGACTTACGACTAAGAATCTCGTGTCTTTATTTTTTATGCTTTCTATGAATATCTAAGAACTCTAAGTATTGCTACTCGATGTTGAGAATGTTATGTCTTTCATTTTCATACTTCCTATGACCTCGTACGTAGCTATCCTTCGTATAGTATCTTTCGTAATCTTTCCCCCATTTTGTGCTATCCTTCCGAATATAACATAAAATGGGCTAGACATATAAGCTCTAATATGTTGGTATATTGTTATGAAATTGGGGTTAGGGACACTATAGCACTGGTTTTCGGTTATGTTCATCCCCCCATCAAATCTAAGGGACTCGTCCAACATAGATACTTCAGAGTAGTTGGGCCGTTTGGGCCTTTGGTTGGGGTTATCACTGCTCCCCAGACTTTCGTGTTTGATCCATGTGAGTTCAAAGCTCAAATCAAAAATAGGAATGCAGGTAAAACCGGGCAGGGTAACGATATACAATTGAAATACACTATTGAAATTTTGCAAAAAGAAAATTGTTGCATGCACGTTTGTTCTGGTCCTTTTTGTCAATGATATCTTGTTAGTTTTTTTTTTCCTCTTACTTTTTCAATTATGTGTTGAAGTTACTGAATTGGTGGATCACATCAAAGATCAAACTCAAAGTCGTGAAAGGCCAGTGTTGGATGGGGGAAGGGAGGGAGGGATGATTGTGTGTTGTCATCCGATAATAGGATTACGTTTTCAATCTCCCTCACATCACAATATCACATGCCTACAGTTCCCACTTCACATATGGGGGGACCGTTTCTGTTTCTTTCATCTCCAACACACAGTATTAATGTACACCGCTTGCTTGCGATTTGGTTGCTATCAAAATTTGGTTACTGATTGATACATGTAATCATAGGGTTTGCCAATTTGACGATTAAAACCAAACTTCCAAATAATGGTTCTCTCCCTTGTTGTCTTATGCCGTAAACAAGAACACTCTTGAAAGACAGAAAACTTCAGTGTCTTTTAATTTTGTCCTCATCACAGTTGTGAAGAAGTTGGGTCATAATCATGACCTTGATTGGACGTATAACAGAAGGAACAAAAGAAAAATAGTACCTTATTCAATCCAAGCAAGTAGTTCTCATTGATTTCAAGACCCGTTGCGTAGGGTACGAGGTCCTACAACAACAAGAACAATAAAAACTTGCACCAAAACAAGAACAACCCGAAAGCAAAACAACCAACCCATTACATTACATTACGTAACCCTATGGAGACAAGTAAATACAGCTCACTCTCCCTTTGGAGAGGGCTACAAACACACAAACAAACAAAACACACTCGACCTTGCAAAGGTTAAAAAAAAAAAAAACATAAAAAAAAAGATATATTAGACCCTCGAAAAGATAGCATATAATCCAAGGGGCTAATTTTCTTCAAAAACCCATGAAACAGAGAGTCCCCAAATGCCTTGATTCATGTTCATGGCTTGGAAGGAGAGAAGTTGAGTCGAGAAGTGTAGGTAGCCTTGGGCGACCAATTCCCCGGGATCACATCCCGGGCCGAGAGGGATCGGCCCGTTGACAGAGTGGTGAGCTTCACCGAGAATGGGCCCATCAATGGGCCCCCAATTATGCACCAGTTTGCACCCCAGACGTGCTTCATCTCCATCCACTCACTCCCGCCCGCCTGCAACCAACAACATTACATGTTATCATGAGAACGTGCAGCACTCTTAGTTATCTCTTTGTGGGTTGGGTTGGGTTACTCAACCCTAGTGTTAAGCGACATGGAACACTCTCCAGTCTCCACCCTAAATGTGGAAGAAGGGACAAGATATTTAGACCACCCAACACACTTCGTGGCTACGAAATGGCTAAGGTTGGGTGAACTCTCTTGGACTTTGCCATATACATAATAAACACATTCAAAAATTTTCATAAATGTTGTCAGAAGTGGACCCTTTTGTCACATGCACATTTATTTTTTTTTCTCCAGGGAAGTGGCTACAGTACTGCAACCTTTATGTACATGTAGCCAACATTAACAAAAAGAAATGCTAGAGTAGAACGAGTCATGTGGGGGAAAGCAAAATTAGTAGTGGCCTTTGTTGTACTTTGTGGGCCTTTAGCTTTAGGGCCATTTTGCCTTATTGCTTTTGATTAACTTTAATGTGGACACAGATCTGAGCCCACTTAAGATCCAGTCTCTTTTTTTTTTTTTTTTTGTGATGATACACAAACTAAACTAAAGTGCACCACTCCGGAAAACAAGCACCTTCCTTCTACACTAAGCACAAAAGAAAAGGAAGAATCTTTCAGATTTGGCTCTCGCTTTGATTGACTCGAAGTGCATGGGGGGAGAGAGAGATCATTACCGACACAGAAATTGATTTTCTAAAGTTGGCAGTTGGAAGCTGTGGGCATGCCTTTTCCAAAGGGCACAAGCTTAAGCACTTGTAAAGTGAAAGCGAGATCAAAGATCTTGCTTAAAGATAGATTATTACTGGACCCTAACCAAAGATTAGTAAGTTTTTTGTCCCCTCTAATTACGTAGTCAACAATTTAGATGGTAAAAGCGTTGGAGCGTGTGAACAAACAAAGCAGAGAGAGGAAAGAATAGAAGAAGTGAAAAGTAGGTGAGAATAATAATTACTTGTCGGATGTGCATGGAACCAACGTCGCCGTCGCCGTCCTCGAACTCCACCAGCAGAGAAAGCCAGTAATTCGTCGACCCTTCGTTCACATGGAACGCTATGTTCTTCCCCGGATACTTACACGCCGTCCTGTAATCTCGCCGTAATTAGCAAACCAAAAGTAATTAACTAACTAAATTCTCATAATTTTCTCGTTAATTTTAAACAATTATATAATAGCAAATGTAAGAATTTTCAGGCTTGTTTGTTGGTGCATTTTACACGGACGAAAACACCCACGCCTTCAGAAAAAAGCAATTTAACTAACATGCTTAGTTCAGGGTTAAAAAAGGAAAACAGAAAATGACTGGTGCAACCAAACACAGCGCCGCTGACCAATAACTGAGAGCGAGAGAGAAAAAATAAAAATTAAAAGCCGACAAAAGAAAATGACAACTGAAAAAGCAGTAGCAGTGGCAGAAGCAGAGACAGTGAAGACCAGGAAGGGAAAAAATAAATGACCAACACGACGTACCGGCGGTAAATGACGGAGAGCTCGCCGCGGTTCCTGAGCTGGCCGCCCTCGCCGGAGACGGCCATCCTTCCGAAGGCGGCGCCGCTGAGGTCGAAGTGGGTCCGGCCGTTGGAGCAGTAGCCGCCGGGGCACTCGTCGGTGACGATTACCGTCACCGCCCGGCGCGAGCAAATACTCTTGTCCAAGCACCGGACCTTGTAGCAGGCACCGCAGCCTTCCCCGTTGCGGAATAGAACCGGGCTCACCGCCCCGACCCGGGCCCGGAACGGCTTCACGTCCACCATCGACCCGTACCCGCACGCGCCTCCTATCCAATTTCATAAATCCCCAAAACAAAAAACAAAAAATCCCTAATTCAATTTCTACAGATCTCTCTTTACGTACATCAAAATTAAACTGAATCGTTGTTAACAAAATTGCGGAATTGAGGAATTTATTAGTAAATACCGTCGCTGCCGTCGCCTTCGGGGCTGCCGTACCAGGTGGCGGTGGCGGGGTACCAGTGCTGGTCGGAAACCGGCTTGTGAGCCGGAACCTGGCCGGAGGCGGAAACGGCGGACATTTTGGAGGCGAGAAGCAGAGTGAGAAAGCAGAGGAGGTGCGGGGAGGTACGGAGAAGCTGCATTGTCGCGGCGTTGGCTGTAATGTCGCTTTTTCGTCGCCGGGCGGAGTGGCCGAGGGAACAGTCCCCCTGAAGAATGTGGGAACAGAGACCGGTCAACATTTGCAGTAGTACTACACATGTACGGACAAAAGGGAATTCTGCTCTCTATGGAAACTGAATCACAGAAGAAAAAAAACGCCTTCGAATTGTGCAGCATTTGGATGAAGCATGCAAACAAGCTGTTCGACGAAAGTACCTTTGATTTCAAGCTCCCGCCGGGTCTCGACGCTGGATCGATTGGGGAAATTGGTCACTTGTGGTTCGGGTTCCAGATCTGAATTCTTCACTGTTTGTGGGGTTTCAGATTTGGGAGAAGGTCTCCCGCCTGCAGGGTCGAGGTGTAAGAAGAGAAAGTCAGAAACAGAGAGCTGGAGAGGAAAAAGAGGTGGTGAGAAAGTGGAGAGCAAAACCAACCGACGGTTTTTTTTTCTCCCTTCCTTCCGTTGAATAACCAACCGACGGTTCGTTTTTTCAGGTTTTCAGCATTTAGAGATATTAATTATATAGAGGCTTCGTTGGTAGTGTCGGTAAAAAGAAACCAAAAAAAAAAAAGACCCTACCCAACGGTAAGGTCAGTGGAGAGAAATATACATTATCATACAGATTTTGCTAGATTTAATTAGTAATCTGCCTGTGGTTTTTTCTGATTTTTCAGAATGCAGCAATCAGAGTGATTTACGGAGGGGTATTAAAGTCTTCTCCGTTTATTTCCCATCAGTCATCTAGAACCCCCAAAATCAGCCGCAATCACCTACTCATTAGAACCCCAAATTCCGGGAGGGCTCTTGGCAAATCGACCCACCTTTTGGTTTTATGTGGGCTTCATACAATAGCTAAACTCAACAGCAGGCCCAAATCTTTTTGTAAAGAAAGCCCAAAGTCATCCAGCCCAAACACAACGCACTTTTGTAACTTGGACTTTCAAGTCAATTACAAGTAGGGGTGATAAACGGTTAGTCGGTTATCGATTTTAACCGATAACCGAACCGATAAAGTCGGTTAGTGGTTAACAGATAACCCCTACTTCCTTATTGGTTTCGGTTTCGGTTAGTAGTATTTTGGTTAGTGGTTAACCACTAACCGATTAGGAAAACCGATAACCGCCTACTAGTGTGACTACATGGTTTTTTACTTTGGCTAAGGGAAAAAGTTGTAAGATTCAAAACCAATCAAAGTCGCAATTCCAAACATCCCAATTCTCACCTATTGCAAACAACCCTCCATCAAGAGTCTCGAATGTTTTTAAGAGTTAGAACTCGAAAGTCACCCCTCTCTAACTCCCCTTTGCACTCGATAGAGTGAACCTTAGGTTGATGACTATGGGCTAGATGAAGATCTTGGAGTAAATGATGACTATGGGTTAGATGAATTGGAGCAAGATCCTCGGATCATTTAGGTTGATGATTTGGAGATAATGAACTTGTTATTTGTGTCTAGTTGTGATTGTGACTTGTGGTTGAATTGTGGGCATGTAGACTTTATGTTGTGGAGTTGTGGTTGAATTGTGTGGTTGCTTTAGGCTTTATGTTCAATTGATTTAGATGACTTTATGGTGTGTGATTATAGAGGCTGAAACAAAAGCAGGTCACTCAAAATTGAGGGTGAATCATTAAAAAAGGTGGTTGAAATTCGGTTTTGGGTGTCGGTTTATGAACGAAAACTGAGAAAGTGAACCAGAACCTGCGGTTTCGGTTAACCACAATGGAAAACCGAAACCGATGTTTGCGGTTTTCGGTTAACCGAAGTCTCTGTCGGTTTCGATTTCGGTTAGCGATCTTGGGACAATTTTGATTGCGGTTAACCGATATTTCGGTGCGGTTAAATCGAAACCGCACCGACTAACACCCTAAACATGATTTAACATGATCTATATAATGATACTAACTTTTGTAAAATTTGAAAAAATCAGTATAAACAAAGACGTACTCATACACAAGTGATTTATCAAACACATGCACTAATCAATTGTGTTTGGTTAAACAAGTGTACAATTCACTATATTTTCATGTGTGTTGTCACGTCAGAAACCGATGTTGGATATAGTTTTTTCGCATACAAACATTCATTACCTTCTTTAATCTTCGGTGTATTATAATTCTCTCACTGTGATTCTTTGGTGCCGGTCTCTGGGATTACAGGGTGTCTGCTATCAAGGGGACGGCAAGGTCGTCATAGAGAAGGTGTTGTTCGGACGAGATTGGGATAGGCGGGGAGGAGCGGTGCTTCATGAGGTTCAAGAATTACTTGCTGGGGTGGCTGGTGGTAGTAGGGCTGGGAAACGGAGCGGTCTGGTCCAGACCAGACCATATATACGGTCTACGGTCCAGACCGAGAGGCTAAATTATAGACCATAGACCAGACCACAGACTATACGGTCTGGTCCAGACCACGCCTGTGCGGTCTGGTCCAGGTAGACCACACTCAACGAAAAATGAATAATTAGTTTAGTTAACCACACAAAAAATTGAACCAATAACCAAGAAAAATAATTGTTATTTGCCTTAAAACATTAATCCTAACATGCATGAATAATTTTGATACTCTAAATCTTAGTACATAACAAAGATACAAAGTAAAAGCATCCCAACTTGCACCATAATGTCATAAACATTAACATAATGTCATATGGAGACACGATTATCTCTACTCTGTGGTTAAATGTGGTTGTGAATGAAGGAGGGAAGAGATTCACAAAATTAAGGTTGAGACTTGGGTGTCGTTGTGGGAGTTTGGAGAGTGGTCAAATGGGCTGTTAACACGTATTGACAAGTCAGTTGGGTCTACGGTTTGGTCCGGTAAACCGCGGTCTAGACCAGACCAGACCAAGAGATCAAATCATAAATAATACAGACCATGGACCAGACCAGACCATACTTCACGGTCTACGGTCCGTACCAAACTGTGCGGTACGATTTGGACCACGGTTTTTCTAACGGTCTGGTCTATTTTCCCAGCCCTAGGTGGTAGGGTCCAATTTTTAGGCAGGGAGAACAATAGGGTAGTTCATAGGACAGCTCAAAAATCCCTTTCTTTGTTTCCTATTTTTATTGGGGGGTTTAATTTTTCCGCTTGGCTCCAGTCGGAGTTGTAATCGTTTGTGATCTTCTGGTTTCTTGGTAATACAAGCTATCTTTTATAATAATAATAAAAAGTATTCCGACCAATGAACCAGACGTTAATCTAGTATATAACGAAGTGTGGTATCACTTGCACCTTGCCATCCCATCAAAGTGTCATTTCTCTTTGCGTTTAATTTGTACCATCACTCCTCGTGCCTGCTCTTCTTCTTCATTTCCTTGGGAGCAAAGGTTTCGCCTTAGACATCTCAACAAACAAATGGCGATGAAGTATTCTTGATGTCTATTCCTTCCTCCTCAAGGAGAAGATGGTGTGCAATGTCATCAACCCTTCGACTTTAAAGTCAACTCAACAACCATGGAAGTCACTAAGCCTCTATGACACTGAGCATTAGAGGTGGCAATTAGGATCCAAATCCATGAATCCAATCCAATTCATCCATCAAATTATCCACTTAATTCAATCCATTTAAATCCAATCCATTTGATCCAAATGGCAAATTACGATTTGGTACCTATATTTTTTATATTTTACATTTTGGTACCTAAAATTCATATTTTTATACGAAAAATATCATTGGAAAATTACATTTTGGTACCTAAAATTTTTCATTATGAAATTTTAGTACCTAAACTTTTCAAAATTTACATTTTGGTCCAAACCTTGGATGTCATTTGGATTCATGGATCAATCCACCAATCCATTTGATCCAATCCATGAATCCACCAATCCATTGGATCCAATCCATTTGATCCACGGATCCACCAATCCAATCCACGAATCCACGAATTCGATCCAATTGCCACCTCTACTGAGCATAACGATTTCGACTCTTAAGTAGTAGCAAATGGAGAACTGATAAGCTAGTGAATCGATATTTGCCGCCCGCGTATTTACTATTTGCCGCCCATAATTTTATGAAAAAGTCTATTTTGTCCCTCAACACTTAAAAAACCTAATTGAATTGCCTATCCCGCCGCCGTCGGAACCGCTGGCCGGCTTTTGTAGCCGCCATGGATAAACAAAATACTGACTTCAACTTCCTCATTTTTTTTCCCGCAAATTCCGGCAACAATTAGCCTTTGCCTTTCGTTTTTTCCCCACAATTCTGGGCAACGATTTGCCTTCCACTTTTTTATTGTGCGACGATCCCTCAACCATTTTCATCCACTTTCCGTGCCTCTCAATCTCCTCGTTCTTGCGTGGCGGCTGTGGCGAGGGAATCACCATGGATCAAGATTCAAGACCTGGCCGGATCGGAATGAGATGGGTGGCCCGACTACGACAATTAGACAGGATGGGTGGTCGTCGCCGGAGTACGGACGGACGGAGACGCTCGATCCGACGTCGGGTTTCGGACGGGGTCCGACGTTGGGTTTCGAACGGGATCCAACATCAGGTTTCGGACGTGTTGCGCCTCCTCACACTCCTTCACAAGTTGCTCGCGGCGCATGGTCGTGGTGTCAAGGTTGTCCTTCATGGAGGACAAAGACGCCCGAGCCTCGCGGCACTCCTCAATCGCCAGGTCTGTCTTCCGGGCGCCTGCCTCGGCAAGAAGGAGCATCTGCACAAATATAAGACGCCCAAGTGAAAAAACGCCCAAGTAAAAAAAAAAAAAAAAAAAGAGGAACATTTGCACAAAGGGAAAACGTGCAAGGCAAATTTAGGCGCGAATGAGCATACCTTGGTTCCCATTCGGGCGACTTCAGCCCATGGATGATCCTCCGAGATCGAGGAGGGCACCTGCAGAAGTTTCGACGCCGAAAGAGCCAGGCCCATTGCGCATCCACGTTCCACTGCTGCTCGTGGATGAACAAGACAAGGCCACCCGCCCCAAGTCGGTGCGCCTGGGCTGAATCATGGGGGGCCTTCCATCGGGCCCCAATAGGCGCCCTTCCACGATTGCATATCGTGGGGGCTGGGCATCGCCTTGACTTGCGACGCCTCCCTCTCCTTTGTCAGCTCTGTGCCGTTTTGCTGGTGGAGTCATTTGGGCGCCTCCTCTCTTCCCTCGAGTGATCAAGGGCACTTCATCCTCTTGATCATCCACGTCCTCGACTATGACGCGGCCTTCCAAGCCATCTGCGCCCAAGGGTGTGGACGCCTCGCTCGATGCCCCAGTGGTCTTCTCTCCGGGCGCCTTTCCCTTCCCTTTATCCATAGGAGCCACCAGCGGTTGTGGAGTGGAGACCGAGGCGGGGGAAGACTCCCCAAGGTTGGACCCTCCTTGTTGAGGCTCCTCCAGAGTCATCCTTTCATACCGACTCTTAATCAAGTCAGCAATGCGGCCAAATCTCGTACCTGCAAGCAAATCCAAGGGATTAGCTAAGGCGCCCAAAAGAGAATGCAAAAGGCATAAACGGCACTCAACACACCATCTGCATAATATTC